GAGACACTGGGCTGAGACATTGGGCTGAGACACTGGGCTGAGACACTGGGCTGAGACACTGGGCTGAGACACTGGACTGAGACACTGGACTGAGACACTGGGATGAGACACTGGGATGAGACACTGGGATGAGACACTGGGGCTGAGAAACTGGGCTGAGACACTGGACTGAGACACTGGACTGAGACTGGGATGAGACACTGGGCTGAGACACTGGACTGAGACACTGGACTGAGACACTGGGCTGAGACACTGGGCTGAGACACTGGGCTGAGACACTGGGCTGAGACACTGGACTGAGACACTGGGCTGAGACACTGGACTGTGACACTGGGCTGAGACACTGGGCTGAGACACTGGACTGAGACACTGGACTGAGACACTGGGCTGAGACACTGGACTGTGACACTGGGCTGAGACACTGGGCTGAGACACTGGGCTGAGACACTGGGCTGAGACACTGGGCTGAGACACTGGACTGTGACACTGGACTGAGACACTGGGCTGAGACACTGGACTGTGACACTGGGCTGAGACACTGGGCTGAGACACTGGGCTGAGACACTGGGCTGAGACACTGGGCTGAGACACTGGGCTGAGACACTGGACTGAGACACTGGGCTGAGACACTGGACTGTGACACTGGGCTGAGACACTGGGCTGAGACACTGGGCTGAGACACTGGACTGTGACACTGGGCTGAGACACTGGACTGAGACACTGGGCTGAGACACTGGACTGAGACACTGGACTGAGACACTGGGCTGAGACACTGGACTGTGACACTGGGCTGAGACACTGGGCTGAGACACTGGCTGAGACACTGGACTGAGACACTGGGCTGAGACACTGGACTGAGACACTGGACTGAGACACTGGGCTGAGACACTGGACTGTGACACTGGGCTGAGACACTGGGCTGAGACACTGGGCTGAGACACTGGGCTGAGACACTGGGCTGAGACACTGGACTGAGACACTGGGCTGAGACACTGGACTGTGACACTGGGCTGAGACACTGGGCTGAGACACTGGGCTGAGACACTGGGCTGAGACACTGGGCTGAGACACTGGACTGTGACACTGGGCTGAGACACTGGACTGAGACACTGGGCTGAGACACTGGACTGAGACACAGGCGTGTCTCCTTTCAGTTATCAGTGTTTAGATCACAAGGCTAAAATCTGGAGATGTCTCAATCCTTCTTATATAATCCTTCATTATAAATGCAGGTCATAACTCTAATACGGCAGGTGAACGCCGCCTGCTGTTCTGCTCTTACAGTACTAGAGGTTAAACTGGAGTGTGTCCAGGGCAGCGCTGCTGTAGAAGTGAGGAGGACACGTGTACCTGCAGTGGAGCTGGACTCGCTGTTCAATCACCAGTTCTTGAGTCAACAGTTCTCTAATCACCAGTTCTTGAGTCAACAGTTCTCTAATCACCAGTTCTCAAGTCAAAGATTCTCGAGTCAACAGTTCTTGAGTAATTTAGAGAGAAATAATGCAACCCTATCATGTATCTTGACGTTTAAGACTGAGTCTTCAGCCAGTCCATCCGTACAGCTGAGTTTTTAGCCATTTTCAAAAAGACACATCATTTTCGCCAGCACCTGACCAATTAACACTAGCACTTGCCTATTCTATTGTATTCTATTCTAATCTATTCTATTTTGCTTTGCTGATTTCTTACATGTAAATTTAAGACAGTAAAGAATTAGCGCATCATAACTGAAATCCAAATAGCTCTATTTTTTATTCACTACATCAACAGAAGTCTAAGTAGCCATCTACAATGTTGGAAATGTCTGCTACATGTACAACATAAAGCTGAGACAAAAAATCTCGTAACAGCCCATTCCTATAAGGACGCCTGTTGGTATCACATTTCAAGATGGGAAAATAACTTTACAAGACATTCACTGCTGAAAAATTGGGACTCTGAAGCCACTGGTCCATTTTAATTGTAAATTCCTCTAAAGTTCAAACAAACAGCCAAAGGTTAGCCAATTTCAGATGCCACGGAAATGTTTAAGTTATCACATCATTCATTCAAGGTCTGGGGTCTCATTTATAAAACTGCGTAGGATCCTTGCTAAAAGTGTACATGCGGCTGAAAGCAAAAGATGGCATATGCAAAAAAAGATTGCGCATAATTTTCTGTAGTTAAAACATTAAAAAAAACCTGCATGCCAGAGGAAAAGTGTTCAAAAGCATTGTGTCCACAACAATTACTTCTATTTATTGAATTTAAAAAATGTTGTAACTTCTCAGTAATGATTTCATGTAGTTAAAGTGTTTAACTCCATTAATTAGAATGGCATATTTAAAAACATAGATTAAATCATTTTTTATTTACTTAAACTGTTATTGTGAACATGCACTGTATTTATGATTAGGATTCATAATTAAGATTTAACTATTTTCAAGTTCAAGCTTGACTATGACTGAAAAGGTACTGATACCTTTCTGTAGAAGTTGGTCCGTTCTGCCAGTATTCACAAGCTTGTGAGGGGTCTGCAAAGGAATATCCAATAGCAGCCGCTGGCACTCCTCAAATTTTGGCTTGGACTCTTCTGCAATCTCTGGTGCTCTAGTATTCTGCGAATACAAGCTTTTCTCATCTTCTTCCCCTGTAACAAGGTCAACCTTCTCAGGCATCTGAACAACTGGCTCATTATCCTCTGTTTTGCACATTTCATCTTCTTGATCAGCAGAGGTATCTGTCTTGGAGGTGGAATTAATAGCTGTAAACAGCTGCTGGCCAGCACCAGCAAAGCCTTTGAAAGTGGGATCCTCCTGGCCAAACTGAAAACTACCTTGTCTTGCCAAGTCTGCAAAATTAAAAAAGTCAGGCTTACCGGTAATGAGGGGATTATTATCGTGACTACCAGTGTCTAAGGGCTCATCTGAGGAACTTGGGATTTCCTCTTTTTCCTTCTCTCGGTCAAGTTCATCAAAACTACTAGAGTCAGGCTTACTGGTTAGGAGGGGATTATTATCGTGACTACCCGTGTCTAAGGGCTCATCTGAGGAACTTGGGATTTCCTCTTTTTCCTTCTCTCGGTCAAGTTCATCAAAACTACTAGAGTCAGGCTTACTGGTTAGGAGGGGATTATTATCGTGACTACCCGTGTCTAAGGGCTCATCTGAGGAACTTGGGATTTCCTCTTTTTCCTTCTCTCGGTCAAGTTCATCAAATCTACTAGAGTCAGGCTTACCGGTAATGAGGGGATTATTATCGTGACTACCCGTGTCTAAGGGCTCATCTGAGGAACTTGGGATTTCCTCTTTTTCCTTCTCTCGGTCAAGTTCATCAAAACTACTAGAGTCAGGCTTACCGGTAATGAGGGGATTATTATCATGACTACCCGTGTCTAAGGGCTCATCTGAGGAACTTGGGATTTCCTCTTTTTCCTTCTCTCGGTCAAGTTCATCAAAACTACTAGAGTCAGGCTTACCGGTTAGGAGGGGATTATTATCGTGACTACCCGTGTCTAAGGGCTCATCTGAGGAACTTGGGATTTCCTCTTTTTCCTTCTCTCGGTCAAGTTCATCAAATCTACTAGAGTCAGGCTTACCGGTAATGAGGGGATTATTATCGTGACTACCCGTGTCTAAGGGCTCATCTGAGGAACTTGGGATTTCCTCTTTTTCCTTCTCTCGGTCAAGTTCATCAAATCTACTAGAGTCAGGCTTACCGGTAATGAGGGGATTATTATCGTGACTACCCGTGTCTAAGGGCTCATCTGAGGAACTTGGGATTTCCTCTTTTTCCTTCTCTCGGTCAAGTTCATCAAATCTACTAGAGTCAGGCTTACCGGTAATGAGGGGATTATTATCATGACTACCCGTGTTTAAGGGCTCGTCTGAGGAACTTGGGATTTCCTCTTTTTCCTTCTCTCTGTGAAGTTCAGCAAATCTACTAGAGTCAGGCTTACCGGTAAGGAGGGGATTATTACCGTGACTACCAGTGTTTAAGGGCTCATCTGAGGAACTTGGGATTTCCTCTTTTTCCTTCTCTCTGTGAAGTTCAGCAAATCTACTAGAGTCAGGCTTAGCGGTAATGAGGGGATTATTATCATGACTACCCGTGTTTAAGGGCTCATCTGAGGAACTTGAGATTTCCTCTTTTTCCTTCTCTCGGTCAAGTTCATCAAAACTACTAGAGTCAGGCTTACTGGTTAGGAGGGGATTATTATCGTGACTACCCGTGTTTAAGGGCTCATCTGAGGAACTTGAGATTTCCTCTTTTTCCTTCTCTCGGTCAAGTTCATCAAAACTACTAGAGTCAGGCTTAGCGGTAATGAGGGGATTATTACCGTGACTACCAGTGTTTAAGGGCTCATCTGAGGAACTTGAGATTTCCTCTTTTTCCTTCTCTCGGTCAAGTTCATCAAAACTACTAGAGTCAGGCTTACCGGTAATGAGGGGATTATTATCATGACTACCCGTGTTTAAGGGCTCGTCTGAGGAACTTGGGATTTCCTCTTTTTCCTTCTCTCTGTGAAGTTCAGCAAATCTACTAGAGTCAGGCTTACCGGTAAGGAGGGGATTATTACCGTGACTACCAGTGTCTAAGGGCTCATCTGAGGAACTTTGGATTGCCTTTTTTTCCTTCTGTCTGTGAAGTTCAGCAATATCCTTCTGGCCGAACTGAAAACTACCCTGTGAAGAATTTGCCAATTCTGCGAAACCAAAGCAATTAGGTTTACCAGTAATGAGGGGATTATTATCGAGACTACCCGTGTTTAAGGGCTCATCTGAGGAACTTGGGATTTCCTCTTTTTCCTTCTCTCGGTCAAGTTCAGCAAAACTACTAGAGTCAGGCTTAGCGGTAATGAGGGGATTATTATCATGACTACCAGTGTTTAAGGGCTCAGATGGCTGAGATGTAGAGGATTTTACAAACTTAAAACCTTGTGAGAATGCTTTTTCTTTACTTGTACCAAACTGAAAAGCAGGACCTGGATTGAAATTGCCAGTAAATCCTGTTGCAGCAGGTTGCTTGCTAGAACTACCAAAACTGAATGAAAAAGAGGACCTTGATGGTGCAGTAGAGGTCTTGGCTTTCATATTTGGGTTTGCTGCCTGACATGAAGCACACTGCCTAGCTGTACCTTCATTTCTTACCAGGCAAGTGTCACAATCCCACTGTCCCTCTTTTTTACCAAACATGGCAGCTAACTTAATACTGCAGGGGGCTTTGCAAGAAACGCATTCAGTTGCGGAAGCATCATTCCTCACGAAGCAGGAGTCACAGTCCCATTGACCCTCTTTCTTAACAAATTGAGAGCCAAAAGGGAGAACTGGAGTTGCTGGCACTTTCGCATGTTGTGGTGCTTCAGCCTGAATAGTTTTCTTATCAGCCTGAGCTGTAAGGTCAACAGTGGTTCCTGCAGAATAATTTGATCCAAATTGAAAAGAAACTGGTATTTGAGACCCAAATGCTAAACCCTTTGAGCTGATATCAGTGTCTCCAGTAAGTCCAAAAGAAAAAGATTTGGCATGAGGAGCCACAGGAGCAGAGCCTTTAAGTTCCTCTACAGGTTTAATCTTTGCTGTAGAAGGAGCTGCACTGTTGCAGGCAACACACACTGCAGATGTGGGAGCGTTTCTTACACAGCACACATCACAGTCCCATTCACCTGTCTTCTTGGAAAACAGTGTTTTAAGATCCATTTCTTTGGATGAAACCTGAGGTTTCGGAGTTTCATTTTTATTTTCCATTTGTTGGCCTTGTGGAGACTCTAGAATGAATTTTTGAGCTTCCTCAAAATTTAATTTAAACAGTGTGGCCTCATCCGCAGTTTTAAAACGAACGGCCAACCGCTCATTCTTGGGCATTTCATCTGCATAGTCCATAGCATACCACACCCAGGTCTTGTCAGATCCAGCATTTGGTTTGAGGACCATATCTGCAGTGATATAGTGATTAGCACAGATTTTGAGAACCTGTTCCCTCCTCATCAACAGACGAACTTTCCCTGAAGTTCTGTGTTTGAGAATTTTGAGACTTCCAATGCCCCTCTCTTTCCATTCTTTAGTCTCAGGGTCGAACCGGAAGAGTTTTGCTCTCTTGCAGAACATCTCCTCTTCCTCCTCCTCACCAGTTTTCACATCAACCTTATCAGGAAGAGGCACAATGGGCTCAAAATGAGGTCCATCCTCTTCCTCTTCCACATGGGTGCTATCATTATCACTTTCCCCGCTTTTTTCTTCCCGAACCTCTGGGATTCTTAAAACAGGTTTGGTTCCACTTGCAAAGCTAAATCTTTGGTCAGTGTTGCCAAAAATCTTCATTTTGCTCTGAGCAGCATCGGTGAATGAAAATCCTGTGACACTTTTACTTCCAAAAGTAAAGACTCCGCTTTGGCTAGGCGGCTGGTCTTGGGTCTGATGTTTCGGTTCTGATGGTCCTTCCGCTTTGGGAGGACTATCTGACGTCAGAAGTCCCAAAAGGCTTTCACTATTTTTCATCTGAGCTGAGGAAAAGGTGAAATCACCATCATTGGACTTGAAATTGGAGTTGAACTTGAAGGCAGTTGTTGCTGATGTTGATGGGGCACCGGCCACACCCCCAAAGTTTGGAACCTTAGGAGGTTCACCTGTGAACTGCGACCCAAGACTCATCTTGGGGTCAACAGCCTTGTTTTCACTGCTCTTGGATGGCTGCGTGGATGTATCGACACATGGCTTGGTGAAATATCCAGGCTCTGGTAATGTTGGATTGACTGTAGGTTGAGGAAAATTGTGACCATAATACTCTTCACTGTATGGGGAGAGTAAGGATGTAGCTGGTGACTCAAACCGGATGGGAGCACCAAAGACTTGCTCTTGGGGATATATGCATGCAGGAGTGGACTGAAGAGGTGGTGTGTGTGTTGATTGTTGGTAGGCATACATATGCTGCTGTGGAGGAAGACGATTCATCCCGTATACTGGGGCCTGCAGAAATAAACAAACAATACTTTGATATTGGTTCTCTGTGCTTTTTCCTGGTAACTAAAACAAGTAGAGTATATTGCATTTACATGAAAATCACTCCACTACCTTTGTTGGTGTAACATTTGCAGCAGTGCGTAGAAGATACTGTGAATTATATGCTGGAGACTGGTTGTAGTACGCAGAGGGACCTGTGGTGGCAAATGAGGAAAAAAGAGGAATGCGTTTTAATTATGTCTTAAATATTGTACACACAAGTGGTTTTGACTTTTTTGGGTGATGTCACCATTTAGAAGCAAAAAAACCAAAACAAAAACATTTGCGGTACACTCATATATGAATGAAAAAATGTGGTAACACATTATAATAACTGCTTGCTAATAATCATTAGTTAAGCATGAGTAAACAGTTAATTCATCATTTATAAAACAATAATAGACATTAATAAGCAGTTTAAAAATATAGCTATAAATGCTTTTTTCTTGATTTTATAAGCAAATCTATAATGCATTTAATAATTGTATTTTCAAACTTTATAGCATTATTTACAAACCAGTTGTTTAAGAGTTGTCAGTCATTCATAAGATCACTTAGAAAGTGTAAGTAAATGTAGTAAATACAGGTAGTTATAAAGCATTTAGTAGTGGTCAGTTAACTATGTGTGTGAGCTCATCTAAATTGAGGACTATTCATGCCTTGTAAAGCTTTTATAAAGGAGATTTAAAGACTCAAAGTCAATCTTCTAAACAGTAAAATGTAACAAGCACAACACAGTGATACAGAACACTTTAAATCTCCTTTATAAATGCTTTACAAGGCATGAATAGTCCTCACTTTAGATGAGCTCACGAACATAGTCAACTGACCACTACTAAATGCTTTATAACTACCTGAATTAACCCTGAATTACAGCATTAATACATGTTAATAAAGCATTTATTAACACACTAAGTAACCATCACTATATGTCTGAATGATAAGCTGTATGAATGTACATTTAAATAGTTTATTAATCATTTACTTACACGCTCTAATATAAGTAATCGTATGAACCACTGACAACTCTCAAATAACTGGTTCATAAAAAATGCAATTCTTCATTTAGAAATGATAAATTGATCATTAATAAAGGATGAAAATACAATTATTAAACAAATTATAGATATGCTTTTAAATCAAGAAGAAAGCATTTATAGCTGTATTTATAAATTGCTTATTAAAGTGTATTAATGCTTTATGAATGATGAATTAATGGTTTACTCATACTTAACTAATGATTATTAGCTAGTAGTTATTATAAAGTGTTACCAAAAATGTTTACAATATTAAATCTGACACTTACAAATAAAACCAAGAGCAGAAGCCAACAATATAATTGTAGGAGCCATGTAACTTTTGTAAGTAGACCTACATAATTGCTTTTTCTGTTGCAAAAGACACATTGAGCTGCAGTTTGTAGTTCTTCCTCTTTGTCGGCATCTCTGTTCAGTTATTCGGGGTATTATCAGCTATACGTGTGTTGTGCTTCGGCGCCGGCATGAATTCTGGCATTCGCAATCACAGATTCTCTTTTTTGAAAGTATGACAAACATGAGAATTTTCAGGAAAATCCACTTTTGTTCTGACAACTAAGGGATAAAAGCTTTGCAGTAAATCGCGCTGATTAAATCTAACGATCGTCAAACCATGCAAATTATACTTTGTTCTCAAATTGTTAATGTTAACAACATTAGCAGTGCGTTCCTACATTTAATGTGTATTAGGGCTACCTGTGTACTTCAGGTTCCATTTCTGTGCAGTCTAATTTCTAATTGTCATACCAGCAAATCAACGTTCCTTAGAACAGTTACTCATTAAATTACAAACACGCATAACTGTAATCAGATGCATATTTATCCTCATTGTCGGATGGGCCCGGTTGCAGTCTCTTTTTTTCTGTAGCCACCCGAAGTACAATTAGTCTAGTGCACTTTACAGTGGGTGAATCTCTAGTTGTCACTGGGGATTGTCGTTTGAACCTTTCTGGATCCACCATCAAATTACAAAGTTTAATTTTTTCAAGTGCAGTGAGAAAAGGAATGAAGCAACTCATGAACTGACCAGTAAGAGGAGCACCATGGAAGGCCTGTGGTCCAGGGTATCCGTGCTGAAGTCCTTCTGCAGGATAGTTATCTCTGTACATCCTATATGAGGATGCTGTCGCTTCAGGGGAATTAAGGAGCAGGTCACGAACCTCATTCTGTGCGAGACGGAAAAAAAAACATGATATTACTAACCCTAAATACCCCAAAGAGCTTCTGACCAGTTTTACATGGTTGTATTTAAAACCACTAGAAAAATCGTACCACTTTGTCAAAAACGAACTTATAAAACAACACTTATCCGTCTGGGGACCAGGGGCGGATCTAGAAAAATATTTATGGGGTGGTAAGAGGGGGGCAGGAATTTTTGAAGGGTGGCAATATATGGCAGACGTAGCCTATACTGAATTTAATCACAGTTAACACAGTTAGATGAGAAAAAGTATAGCCTATACACTACAAGAGGGCATAGATTGCCATTTACAAACTCATACAAAAATTAATCTCATGCAATCAATGTCTTGCATTTGAGGTGAAACAGTTCATATTAGGAATAAGTGTAAAAAAAAAAGGTAAAAAAGGTCGGCAGACCTTTGTACTCATCTAGGGTCACCTGAGAGCATACAGATGGGTTGTGTTTAATGTTTAGTTGTCTGACGAAGAGCCTACATGCTTGAGACGTTACCACCTGTGTGTGAGTCCATTACATTTTTTGCAATTTTGGAGCCAAGGTGTGCCGACCCTTTTTATATATATATATATATTTCTGTTGAGCTCCCAACTTGAGTGTTTTTGCTATGGATGTGTGTGCTTATGGATCTGATTTAATTAGTATGACCATAGAAGTATGATAGACTTAAGGGGCATTATCACAAGAAAGGCATTAAGGTAAGACACAGGCAAGTGTGCGGATAGACACTTCCGGTTTCGCATTCACCCAATGCAGGGAGCCAGAGAAAGCCGAAAATGATCTCTTATACATAAATCAATTATATCACTTAAAATATTACTAAGATCCATATTACTATCACAGGAGCCAATGCCAATTAAATACACGAGCATAGTCAGATTAATGAGTGAAACACAACTGTTCACAAACAGAAGAATTGGACTCATGCTGCATAGGCTATACATATGCAATGACAATTATGCCTACTGTAAACATAGAATTAAAACTACGGTTAGAGTTGTCAAATAAATACTGTTTTCTTAATTCTGCGCATTTACATTTTCACTTACATCAATTGCTCGATCAATGTTATTATCACATATTTTACATTTATATTTTTAACTGTAGGTTGTTCCACAAACAATTTAACTCCAATTTAAGTCCGAGACCTAAGACCAAAAAGGAGGTCAGGCAGTTCCTGGGGCTAGCAGGATATTACAGAAGGTTTGTACCTAATTATTCGGACCTTGCTAGCCCGGTGACTGATCTGACTAAAAAGGAAGCACCAGATACCATCCAGTGGACGGAGCAGTGTCAGCAGGCCTTTACCCAGATAAAGGCTGCTCTATGTGGCGGACCGCTCTTACAGGCTCCTAACTTTTCTCTCCCTTTTCCCTACAGACCAACGCGTCGGACAGTGGGCTGGGCGCAGGCTTGTCCCAGGAGATAGACGGTGAGGAGCGGCCGGTGCTGTACATTAGTCGGAAGCTCTTGAAGAGAGAGACTATGTACAGCACTATTGAAAAGGGAGCTTTAGCCATCATGTGGGGCATTCTTATCCTCCGTTACTACCTCCTGGGTCGTGAGTTCACCCTCTGTTTGGATCACGCTCCCCTGCAGTGGCTCCACCGCATGAAGGATACCAACGCACGGATCACCCATTGGTATCTGGCTTTACAGCCTTTCAAGTTCAAGGTGATCCACAGGCTGGGTGCACAGATGGCTGTGGCCGACTTCCTCTCCCGGATGGCTCCCCAGCCTGAGTCGAGTGGTGGGGTATGTGGAGAGGGGTGCAGGGTTAAGCGAAGTCTGTAGCGGGAGAGTGAGGACGGAGCCGAGCAGTGAGTAAGAAGGTCAAGTGCAAAATGACGAACACCTGTCACTGATTGCAGTAATTGACGTGCATAAAAGCAGGCTGGATTGGGAAAGCAGATTGAGAGAGCCTGGGAACTTGTACACAACGTGAGAAACAACTGGTGAAAAGCTGAAGTGAAAGAGAAGCTGATGCAGCAGAAAGAGTTAGATTTTAAAGTGTAAAGAGTGTTCTTTGAACGTGACCTGAGTTTGTGAAAGCGCCCAGGGCGCCACTGTTATAGCAAGTTCACGAAAGGTTGGTATCTCATGAACACTTTTACATACTGACTCATTAAATTGTTACAAATGGTCATGAAAGCTTAAATCAGATTTCTGTAACATTATTGAACATTTGATCACACACATCAGATCAACATTTGATCTGATGCCACAGAAGATGACAAAATGTGTAAAACTGCAATGTCGACTGGCACAAAGAACTACAGCGTATGCAAATATGTCATTCATGAGAGGTACTGCAGTCATGAGATCGCTTGATTCAACAACACGTGTGGAGTGATGCAGCATGCTTAGGTCTTCTCCAAATGAAACTGACTGATGCAAATAGTAAGCCTCTTTTGGTCGTTTGTCGACCACGGATATTGCATCCTAAGAGTTTGCCGTGTTGTGACTTAAACAGAATTGTCTGTGGCTGGTGAGACCGATGTGGGAGTGACTGTCTCTGCTGCAGAAAGTGCAGATGTAGTTGGTCGTGGGTGGCAGTCCGTGTGTGTGCCTTCTGCCTGGCTCTCCTCTCTTCTGCTAGTTTTAAGATCTTCTCCCCGACTGTATTTAGCCGTTTCTTGAGCAGGCAGCGCCAGCTACTGCGGTTGGCTGCAGTGTTCTCCCAGATCTCTGTGTTGATATCCAGGGCTTTCATGTCGCAGCTGCAGACATCTTTACATCTCAGTTGAGGGCGACCTTGGGGTCTTTTGCCGGATGCGAGTTCACCATAGAGGATGTCCTTGGGGATCCGACCATCTTCTATACGGCGCACATGGTCAAGCCAGCGCAGTCCGCATTGTCTGAGCAACATGTACATGGTGGAGAGGCCAGCACGGGCAAGAACCTGGGCATTGGACACTTTGTCGTTCTAGCTAATGCCAAAGATACGACGGAGACATTGCATGTGGTAACTGTTCAGCTTCTGCTCTTGCTTGGCATATGTTGTCCAGGATTTACACCCATACAGGAGTGTGCTGACTATCAGGCTTTGTACACTGCCATCTTGGTTTAGGTGGTCAGCTTGGCGTTCTCCCAGACATTAATGTTCAGTCGTCTTAGTGTTGTTGCGGCCTTTCCGATGCATTTGTTGATTTCGGCATCTAAGGACAGGTTGTCACTGATGGTGAACTAAGGTAGGTGAACTGGTGGACCACTTCAAGTTTGTAGTTGTGGATGGTGATGACAGGTGGTGTGTCCACATCTTGACCCAGCACATTGGTCTTCTTCAGGCTGATGGTTAGTCCGAAGTCTTTGTAGGCCTGGGAGAATCTATCCATCAGACACTGTAGACCTTGTTCAGTGTGAGAGGTGACTGCTGCTTCTCTAATGATGATCTCACGCACCTTGGTTTTTGCTTTCTTGAGTCTAGAAATGTTGTAGAGTCTGCCGTCTGATTTTGTGTGCATGTACACACCTTCAGTTGAATTCCTGAAAGCATGTTTCAGAAGAAGGGAGAAGAGGATGCCGAAGAGGTTTGGAGTAAGGAGTTAGAACACAGTCTTGCTTCACGCCGCTTTTGATGTCAAATGGTTTGGATATGCTGCTATTGTTCTGGGTGGTTGCCTTCATACACTTTTGAAATGATCTGATCATTTAGATCACTGCGTTACCCAGTGCGTTACGTACCAAACCTGCAGTTCATCAGGTAATCCGTGCCTGACCACACACACACTAGACCGTAAATTAGGCAATTGAATGGGCCTTGTCCTGTCACTGCTAGCGCTATGACTGTTTGAAATGATCCTGATGCCAGTAATTGTGATGTAGTAGGTAGGGGTGGCACAGTTCACAAAACCCACGGTTCGGTTTGTATCACGGTTTTAGGGTCACGGTTTTCGGTTCTGTACGGTTCTTGTTATTTTTTCTTTTAATCTTTAACACTCCAGAAATGTACTTCAGCATGTGATATATAGCTTAATTATCCACACTTTAGGATACAGTATTAAAAAAATATATATTATATTCATGCAATCATGCACAAACTGAATTTGACTCTTTGACTTTAAGCACATTTTGGGACTATCTCAGAGGAAAGCTAGGTGAGATTTAGATACAGCAAGAGAGAAGAAATTGACATGCTTTTTGTTTATTTGGCAAAAAAAAAGGAGAATGTGTATCACTATCTCTACAAGAACTTGTGCATTTTTATCACATAAATCTTATTTACACAAAGAAATTAACTTTCATGTATCAACTGCTAACTTTTGTAGCTCTTACCAAAATTCTATCTTTTAAAAGAAAAAGAGAGGAACTCTTAAAACACTGTCTTTTAAATGTCAATATACATGAAACCTCATTGCCTATAGATAATTAAGCTATAGCAATAGCAAAGGCCATAAACAAAGTGAAATTGAAGTTCAACCTCAACACAAAAACAGTATCAACAATGCTTCTATTCCCAAAATGTGAGGGTTTTTTCCACTTAAAATTAAAGTGCAGGGTTTGGAAACGTATGACTGAAGCTCTTATCTATACATAAAGTGCCACTGTAGTTAAATTAAAATATCATAACATGATAAATCCAAATCCAAATCCAAAATGTTCCCACACACCGGACTTATACCATAGACTTATACGACGCTGGCGCATCCTCCAACTCCCTCATCTCTCCCACTTGCCATTTCTCCGCGTGCCGTGACCTGCAGCGCTCCATACTCCACTTTTACTGGCTTGTTTATTAACTTGAACCGGCGTTGCACAGAGCGATCGGTAATGACATCAAATACCGCGAAAGTGATGAATGCATACGGAGCCGACTCGCGCAAGATTGATGTTATTCACCGATCGCTCTGTGCAGCGCCGGTCCAAGTCGAACAAGTTTATGTCGCGCGAAAAGAAAACACACGTCACATACGGGCACGAGGTTACATTGCGCATGCGTCGAACCGTGAGACGCACACGCGCTCCGAACCGAGACAAGCGAACCGAACGGTTCGGGTGTTTTTTCATGTACCGTGCCACCCCTAGTAGTAGGAGTTTAACAACAGCTGGAAGGGAATGTGAACGCTGAGCCGGAGATTCGATGTCATCTTTGATTTCTTCCAGTAACTGTAATATTGTGTACTGTAGCTGTTTAATCTGTAATGGTGATTTTAATGATTTTGTTTTCACTCACACCTAAAAAAGTGTGATTCTTGAGGGCAAAAACTTTTTCAGCTCATCTCCTCCGCCCATGTCTTCATTTTGCTTGGATTACTGCTGCCACTTCACCAGGAGGCATATGCCAGGAAACCCGCTTCCTAAGTTACTCCTGCTTTTAAGATGAAGAGAATTTTCAGCGCAAAACAGAGGCACACTTTCAACGGAATTAGGCGAAGTTTACGCTTTCCCTCCCATCTCTTTATGTGACACTTCCACTTTCCCCTTGACCATCCCATGAATGCATATGCATGACACGAAAAGTGCATTTTGCCATTTTCAGTTCCTGCCACAGGCAGTTTGCACTTTCATCTTTGTGCGTCCCGTTTGTACATACCTCGCCATGGTTTTATGCACACTTTGCGAAACAAATACGCCTGAAGTGGGCACACAAGCTTTAGTACATCTGGCCCTGACTGATTCTGCTGTGGATGTGCGACTGACCTTCAAGGACTCGAACTGCTGGCACAACATCTGCAGGAGGGACTTTTGGTCCTCGGCCCAGTGAGGAGTCGTTTTGGGTGAAAACTGGAGAAGGGAACAACAGTCAGGAACCACAACGCGATGTAAACAGCAAGCAAAGCTTCTGCAGAAGCATCAGTGCCATGACATACCATAGATCTTTTAGATGGAGACGTGGAACTTTTAGATGGAGACGGAGTGGAGAACTTCACATGTGGCTCAGTGGGCTGACCGGGGCTGGACGTCAGTGGATAGTCCACATGATCTTCATCCCAATCGTCATCTTCTGCAAGCTGATGGTTAACCTCGTTCAGCATATCCATCACATCCTCCATAGATACAGGCAACTTAAAACATGAAAAAAAAACTGAATTAAATGACTAGTAGCCCATTCAAAATCAGTTGCTCATTATCATTTAAAGAGACATGCACCGAAACGGGTCTCTGTGAACTGTTGCAAACCTTACATGAAGACCCTAAAGGATCATACCAACTAGTGGAAAATGGGCATCCAATGACCCCATTAAAACTATGGTTGATTACAATATCTCAATACAAAAATCATGGAAATGTTATTACAAACACTACTGAAATGCAACAGCCCTCATGATCTTTTCCAGAGTAGTAGTAGATCTGTCACAAAATTGAAACGTTTGACTTTTGATGAGCTTTAGGGTTTTCTTTGGTTCTCCATCAGACCGTCTCCGAGAAGTGACAAAAACTATTATTCCTCTACATGAGTGTCAGACTTCTCATGACACACGCAACCCTGATGTAGGCAATGACAATAACAGTAATAATAATAATAATAATAATTTGTTATATTTATATAGCACTTTTTCTGGGACCTCAAAGGGCTTCACAAATGGAAGGGCCCCCTGCTGGCCTCACTAACACCTCTTCCAGCAGCAACCTGGTTTTCTCAGGAGGTCTCCTATCCAGGTACTAACGAGGCTCAGCCCTGCTTAGCTTCAGTGGGCAACCAGTCTTGGGCTACAGGGTGATATGGCTGCTAGACATGAGCAATGGTTGAAGAATCAGAGTTCAGTGCTTTTTAAAAGTATCTTCGGACAGGTCTAATGTAAGCCCTGCACTAAAATCAGCACTGTTTCCTGCAGTGGTCACTTGTGTAAATGCATGTAAAGTTGACTAAACTAACTTCTTCAGGTGTGTTTGTTTGATGCTAGAGCTGAACTTTGCAGGACAGTGGCCCTCCAGGGTCAGATCTGAGGAACCCTGGAGTAAAGTGAGCAGCGCAAACATCAGAGGTGTTTAACATACCTTGTCCATGTCTTTTGGACTGGCCTGATAAGCCTTTGTGAGGTATTTCCTGAACTGCAGGAGGAAGTTGGTGCACCTGCCCTGCGTCTCCTCCATTCTGTTTCCCACCTCCTCCGACAGCCTCTGATAGATCTGCCCATCAACACACATCCACAAACTCATCAGGTCATTTACAGACTGATAATAATCACTTTACTTCTGATGCTGAACCGGTGTGAATGTCGTCCAGAGAAAGCGCTGTTACCTTAGCAAGATGCCAGTTAGACAAGGTGCTGTTGAGCTTCTCCAGCTTTGCGATGGCCTCGTCAGTGTTGCCCTCGATGTCAAGCAGTATGGCAGAGCTTATGGCGGCCTCTTCCTCATATACTCGCACTTGAGAAGGCTGAAGACAAAGAGACCATTAGAGACAAACAACCATATGAAACAGAAGCAGGAACAGAGTACATACCTGTAAGTCTTTACTGTGAAGGTGCATGAACATCGGCTCCAGAGGTTCAGGAATACTGTGTTTGTTTCGGATTTTCTCAAGCAAGGGAAGCACAACTTTCCAATAGTGCACACTGCGGCGTGCATAGTCCTTCACCCGTTCCCCCTGTCAAACACGTCGATGTCAAGACAAGCCTGCTCAGTCTGTACTAGTAATCTCACACTGACAAAGTCATCAACACTACGAACGAAGCATGGGAATCATGTGCTGATCAAACACATAAAAGCGCTAATTTATTGTGCTCCTCATTCCCCTGATCGACTATGTGAGCTGATTACCTCTGATAGAATTAACAACGAGCCAATAACCATTGGCATGCAATCTTTGCATTCCGCGAGCCGCCTACAATTGTGAATATAAAAACGGAAGCAAACATTGCATAGACGCTTCTCGCTGAGGAGCCGAATAGAGTCCAGCCCTCTGCGAAGGTACAACAACATGGCGAAGGGACGACACGTCTCCTTTCCCTGTACTCAGGAAACGAGGGTTACATACGTAACCGAGACGTTCCCTTTCATCCTGGGAACTCCAACGAGTCGTCGGGGAGTTCCCTGACGAATTGGGATCCCTAATAAAACGCCATGGTGCTGACCCCTTCCAGCGCCTAGCGACGCTACCCACGCAGTTTCAGAAATAATGGTAGCTAGCTAGGAAGTCACACTGCTGTTCCGCAAGACCCAATCAGTGGAATTGGATAAAACTGGGAAAGCGTGCCCAACCCGAAGAAGGGGAAGGGGAAGGGAACGCTGCGGAAGCCAGCCGCCTGATGAAGGCCTGGAATACACATATGTACTAACCCAGGGGGATAGTGAAACATATGGCAGTCCCTGAGGTAGTCCCAATCCAAGGGGAAATGGGAGCGTACACAACAGGGACGACAGAACGAGTCTGTCAAGGGGAAGACACGGCTGGCTGCACGTAGCATAATGGGTCACCGAAGAGACCACTGGACATAACACCCAGTCTACACAACAACTCCATTAGAGGTAGTAGACCTGGTGCCTGGCGGTCCGCCACGTCAGGCACCGGAGGGGTGATGGAGGAACTCCCGAGGCTAACCGACGTAGGGCACCAACAGAGCAGAAGATGCACGTATCCGGCTGAGGCACGGAGTGGCCTAGCAAGCCGATACAACCTATTCCCTCGCACCACTTGCCGTAGCGAGTACTCGGGAGGAAACAGGTTCCACACGTAGGCTATAGAATCTAGCGAACGTGTTCGGTGTCGCCCAGCCCGCAGCTCTACAGATGTCTGTCAGCGAGGCGCCTTGAGCCAAGCCCAGGAGGCGGCAACACCTCTCGTAGAGTGAGCACGCAACCTGGGAGGACAAGGCTCACCCGTAGCTTCATACTCTCGGGTGATAGCATCCACTAACCAGAGGGCTAACCTCTGCTTGGAGACAGCCTTCCCCTTCTGCTGGCCTCCGTAACAGACAAAGAGCTGATCAGAGGACCTGAAGCTTTGCGTTCTGTCAATGTAAACCCGCAGTGCGCGGACTGGACAGAGAAAAGCTAGGCCAGGGTCTGCCTCCTCCTGGGGCAGCGCTTGCAGGTTCACTACCTGGTCTGTGAAGGGAGTGGTAGGAACCTTGGGCACATATCAGGGGCGGGGTCTCAAAATAACACGAGAAAGGCCCTCAAAGGGAGGACTTTGGAGAGCTCTCAGTACCAGAGCTAGGTCACAAGAGGGTACAGAGTGCAAAACACGATGCGGATTTAATCTCCTAGCACCCTTATGGAATCTGATGACCAGGTCGTGCTTCCCCACGGACTTACCTTCTACTACATCGTGATGCGCAGCTATTGCTGCAACATACACTTTGAGGGTGGAAGGGGACAGCCTACGCTCCAACTCATCTTGTACGAAAGAAAGCACGACTCTGATCGGGCAAGTTCGGGGGTCCTCCCGGCAGGAGGAACACCACTCGAGGAACAGGCTCCACTTTAAAGCATAGAGGCACCTCGTAGAGGTAGCTCTAGCAGAAGTGATGGTGTTTACCACTGCCTGTGGTAGATCACCTAGAACCTCCACATGAAAACCACAGCATGCCTGGAAACCTGGACTGAGGGCACTCCGGTCCGAAGAAACTCAGGATCCGACCATGGGGAGAAGGTTTGGCGACAGTGCTTTGACCCTGAACGTGCCGCTCTGCCACACCCACCTCGGGACTCGATCGTGAAGCTAGTGCTGGAGCGGTCTCATATGTAACAGGCCGAGCGGTGTTACTGCGGCTGCAGCTGCCATATGCCCCAGGAGCCTCTGAAAGTTTCAGTGGAACCGCTGTCCTGCCTCGAAAGGACCTGAGGCAGGTGAGCACTGACTGGACGCGTTCCTCCGTGAGGCGCGCCGTCTGGGCGACCGAGTCCAACTCCATAACGAGATAAGAGATCCTCTGCACAGGGCAAAGTTTGCTCTTGTCCCAGTTGACCTGAACCCCCAAGCGGCTGAGGTGCCGTAGCGGCTGAGGTGACGTCCCTGTGATCGCACTGTGATCTCTCGCGAGTGAGCCAGAATGAGCAAATCGTCGAGATGGTTGAGGATGCGAACGCCTTGTTCTCTCATGGGAACAATGGCCGCCTCCGCGACTTTCGTGAAGACGCGGGGTGACAGGGCCAGCCCGAAGGGTAGGACCTTGTACTGATACTCTCGACCCTCGAACGCAAACCGTAGGAATGGTCTGTGTCGAGGAAGAATTGAGACATGAAAGTATGCGTCCTTCAGGTCGATCGCTGCAAACCAATCCTGGGGAAGGATGCACTCGAAAATGCGCTTCTGCGTGAGCATCTTGAACGGGAGTTTGTGCAGGGCCCGATTCAAAACTCGCAGGTCCAGGATTGGCCGTAACCCACCGCCTTTCTTGGGTACAATGAAGTAGGGGCTGTAAAACCCGGACCTCATCTCGGCAGGAGGGACCGGCTCGATCGCGTCCTTCGCCAGCAGGACATCGATCTCTTTCCGCAGGACAGGGACGTCCACTGACCGGACACGGGTGAAGTGAACGCCCCTGAACCTGGGAGGCCGGCGTGCAAACTGAATTGCGCTAGCCAGGCTTCCAGGTACCGACCCAACGAGCCCACCCGAACCACCGGCATACCCGTGGAGGGTGAGGGGAGGGGAAGAGACGCAGCACGAGGCCCTGCCTCCTTGTGAGCTGGTCTCTGCCCCTCCGAGTCCAGTTGCTGACCAGAGCGACGCAACCGAGGAAGCGTCGCTGCTATCGCTGCAGACTGGGAAGAGGGGAACGAGAGCGACGCTGCTCGAAGACAGCATCCACTGCCGTTCGGATCCTCTTGGGTGGAGGAGACGAGTGCCCGTCAGTCTCGACCGAAGATGACCAGGAGGAGGAAAAGGAAACCGCTCTTTTATTGAAATTTTGGCGGTCAGCGGCGGAACAGAAACAAAACTGAACAAAAAATTCTCAGCCCGGCCCTCCCTCAGGGGAAGGAGGTGTGCAGAGGCACCCTCCTGAGCGGTCTCTCGTCGCTCCACCAGGTCGCCCGTCTCAGGAACGCTTCCCTCCCCTCCTTTTACGGGAGGGGGCCGGGGGCGCCTGAGCGGGTTGGGCCGCCCTCTTGTGACCAGACTTCCTCGCTCTAGGGTTGGTGGTCTGCGCTGGAGGAGGAGCTGGCGCTGAGGAGCGACCCCGGCGACAGGAAGCAGCCAGGGCTTGTACAGCCACAGGGGAAGGACTCGCAGCAGTCCGCCTCCTGTGCAGGACGTGCCGTATAGCCTCCGACTGCTTCTGGGCGGTGGAGAACTCCTGGGCCAAGTTCTCCACCGCGTCGAGGGAGGCCGCCCTGGGATACGGGTAAGTTGAGAAGTTTGTTCTTCTCCGCTTCCCTCATATCTGCCAGGATCAGCCAAAGGTGGCGCTCCTGGACCACCAACGTGGACATCGCCTGACCCTGCGAACGTGCGGTGACTTTCGTCGCTCAGAGAGCGAAGTCCATCGCCACACGCAGCTCCTGCAGCCGAGCCGGGTCGGGACCCCCCGCCTGCACGTCATGAAGCGCCTTCACCTGGTGTAATTGCAAAACAGCCATGGCGTGCAGGGCGGAGGCGGCGTCCCCACACGCACTGTAGGCATCCCTGGTCAGCCCAGAGGAAAACCTACAGGCGTGGGAGGGGAGTGAAGGGGCACCCCGCCAGGAGGAGGCGGTCTTCGGACACAGCTGCATCGCGACAGACCACTCCACTGTGGGGATTCCCTCGTACCCATGCGCCGCCCCGCTATCCAGGGTGGTGAGGAAGGAGGAGCGAGGTTGCCTCCGTCTGAGCGCCAGAGGCGCCGACCAAGACTTCCTCAACTCCTCATGCACTTCGGGGAAAAAAGGGACTGGAGCAGGCCGTGGGGCAGCCGCACGACCCGCTCCGCGAACTCAATCGTCCAGCCGCGAAGGTTTGGGACCCGGTGGAGGGTTCCACGCAAGCCCGAAATTCGCAGCCGCCCGTTCGAGCATAGCAGCCATTTCCAGGTCAGGCTCCACCGACGCCACCACGCCCGAAGGGGGCAGCGCTGCAGAGTCTTCGCCAGAAGACTGCTCTTCCTCCGATGCCGCGATCGACATCTGATCCTCAGGTGGCGCACCGAAAGAGACAACCGGAAACGCCGAGGGGGCTCCGGCCGCTCCACCGGAAGTGCAGATGGCAGCGTGCTGCTAGAGGCGTGAGACGCCCGACAGGATCTTTCACCTGTCGCGTTTCTCACAGTAATCCTCATACGCTCACCAACATGAATCACTGAAGTAGCCATCTGCTGAACTGAACCAGCAGACGAATTAGATCGGAGATTCTCTGAAGGGACTCCCCCATGTCTCAGGGATCTCAGTCTCGAACGTAGCATCGCGAGAGTCATATTCCCGCAATGAGAGCAGGACTCATCCACAAGCGCCGCC